AGAAAAAGCATATGGCTCCAATGATATGAATAGCTAAATAATGGAAACCAACTTCCTTTTTTTTTTTTTTTTTGGTGCTAAGGAGGGCTAAAGCCCAAACAAAGAAAAAAAAACAATTATAAAGGAATTAACCGAGGACTAGCCACATTGCTAGTATCATCAGCAAGAACAGAGCTGAGAGACAATCAAACAGGCAACTTTATCCCTTCAATACGAGGAGGTTTGCAGGCTAAAAACAACACCTGATGTTTAGCAGCTTTATTACTTTGCGGTCAATTTACCATTCAGCAGCAACCATCACTATAATGTTTGCCTTTTCTTTTCTTTTCTTTAAATACAAGAGGAGGGGGAATTGAACCTAAGCCTCGGGTGCATGAGTAAAATATTACTCTTAATCACTAGAGTTACAAGCACTTTGTTCTGGTGGTATACAAGCACTGTATATCAATCCATGATCTTTATGGTTTCATTTGTTATCGTCATATTCAGGTTTGCAGGCTAAAAACAACACCTGATGTTTAGCAGCTTTATTACTTTGCGGTCAATTTACCTTTCAGCAGCAACCATCACTATAATGTTTGCTTTTTTTTTTTTTTTTTCTTTAAATACAAGAGGAGGGGGATTGAACCTAAGACCTCGGGTGCATGAGTAAAATATTACTCTTAATCACTAGAGTTACAAGCACTATATATCAATCCATAATCTTTATGATTTCATTTGTTATCGTCATATTCAGGGCCTCAGCCCTCATTATCAATACACCTTAATATATTAAAGAAGTCTAATAATTCTCTCTCCCTCCTTAACCTTATTTATCTCTTCATTCAATACTTCCATCTGCATTCTGCACCAAGTTATTACAAATACACAGAAAGCATCAAATTACTTGTCCTTTAGCACAACAATATCCATGTCCCTATACTTTCAATATTGCTAAACTTCATAATTACACTGAAGCTTTGCGGGTAACAAAAGTACAAACCATGCAAGATGATCAAACACGAAAATAACATAAACTCTGCAAAGCTTATCTGATCGTATAAATATGGAATATATATATATGAATGTTACAAATGGAAATTAACAAAGAAAACAAAAAATTAAGCTTAATATTATACATATTTCTAATTAAGCTTAATATTATACATATTTATGGGTTCTGCTTCTTTGCTCTTATGTTTGTATCTTTTTAGGACCTCTTTCTACTGAGAATGGTGATATTATACTAAATTCATACACACTACACGGATGTTAGGACTCGAATACAGGACTTTTCCTAGAAAAAACACTAGTGGATTCCTTGCTGCTCTTATGCTTGTGTGTGAAGAGTGAAGAGGGATAAATTTTAAATATTGTTTAAACCTCAACATAACGGCCATATATCAGCCAGCCAGCTAGGCCAGTGAGTCAGTAAGCTTCTTCTTTCTACTGGTTAATGTGAATAAGATTACAGGTCCAACTTTTTTCCTTTAACTTTATCAGCATCGTCATTATCAAGAAGCTACCATATGCATTGGCTTTTACCTGCATGTAACTCTAGCTGTTTACGTGTTGCGTGAGTAACACAATTGTCTTTCAGTTTTAGAGTTTTTAGAGCCATATAAATTCCAAAAGCCACTAAACGACATTCTCTGCGTGTTTTCCTAAGCAACTGAGCACTATTTCTTTCTTTTTTCTTTTAGAAAAAAACAGGTTTTTTTCTTTGTTGGTCATTGTCACTGAAATCAATGCTCTACACACCATGAGAACTGAGAAAAGCTCATACTTCTGGCTCCTAGGGTTTTTGTGAATTAGGTTTCTTATAACTTGTATATCACATTAGGGCCTAGGGTTTCTTACCATGTATCTTTCTAAAGTCCAAAAACACATCTTGGATTGTATTGTTTTGAATCAGCCTAGATTGGTTTACCTTATTTGGTTAGATATGCATACATGATGAAGTTGCCTCAATTGACCCCTTATTAATTATTAACAGAAACTACATATATATATTTCTCATGGAAATTTAATTAAACTCTTACCATTTTCAATGTTATTGACTGATTTAATGGTAATAAAAGGGGTATCTGGAAGTCAATCATTACATTCATTTGTAACGCTTGCATATATTCCAATTAATTATGGATGTATAATCTTTTGAGCAACATCAAGACACCTTAAACAAATTACATTACATGTGCGTTTTGCCTTGAGAACGGACCAAATAAATTTAGGTAGGGAAAGTACGCGCTTTCTGACAAAGGAAAACAGAAAACTTGATGTAATTTGTAAGGTGGTTGAGTTGCTTATACTTGGCGTCAGAAAATTGTTTGGGCATATTACAATCTTGAACTTGATCACCAGTTGAGGTCATTTGCTAGGCCAAGCAGTATGTACAAGGGGGTCACTAGTAGTGTTGTTGGGAGGCTACAATAATGAAACGGTACATAGTTAAGAGTATGAGACAATGTCAGATACATTGGCTTGTATTGCGTCGAAATGACACGTAGTTACCGTTAATGGTTCCTACGTAAACCACATTGGTGATGTAGTAAAACCGTTATTTTTATGATTTTCTTTTAAGGTAATTATGTACAAGAATTTCACATCTTAATTCTCCATATCCAGTGCAGAATTGTAACGGCGCATTTATAACTATATGCATGTAAGCAAAATGGTAAGTGGTTTCAGAGACTCATATCAATACCAACTCAGTGTTGTTGAAGAACTCTAAAAGAACATTCATATGAAAAGGTTTTGATGGGAGATGAACGTATCTTTTCCAAACCAAGCAATGGAATTGTAGAAATTTGAGAGTGAAGGGTAATTTGGTTTTGTGTATCAGGTGGTTTTGGGGCAGGTGGGGTCTGGCAAGTACCCTTGTGGGTCCCTTGAAAACACATAGCTAAAGCTATCCGTTTTTTGTTTTGAAGCATAGTAACGGCATGGCCTTATGATTGTATTTTGGGCTCTTCCATACCAGCCAAAACAGCTTTCTTTCTTACACACACACACCCCCCCTATTCCTTTGCCACCTTTTTAAACGCTTCCTCACCCCCTCTCCCTCTTCCATAGTTTCTCATACCTCTCTCTCTCTCTCTCTCTCTCTCTAGTTTCTCATACCTCTCTCTCTCTCTCTCTCTCTCTCTCTCTCTCTCTCTCTCTCTCTCTGTGAAGCTATGTCTGAAGGGGAAACAGGAGGATTCTCTGAAGGTTTTTTGTGGGAAAACCAGTCATGGGCTAATTTTAATTCTGACAACTCAGGTGGTGCTGGTGATGAAAATAAAAATTTGGGGACCAAGGAGGAGACAGCTGTGATGGGAATTAGTACAGAAGGTCATAATCAGGTACTGCCTGCACCCGGTAAGAAGCGGAGGGGAGGAGGAGGTGTGGGGAAGAATGGGATAATCAAAGGAAGTACTAGTCCTGCTGACAAAGGAAAAGGTTCAACTGGTGCAGGTGATGGTGGTGGTGAGTCAGATGACCATGAGATGCATATTTGGACAGAGAGAGAAAGGAGGAAGAAGATGAGGAACATGTTTGCTAATCTTCATGCTTTGCTTCCTCAGCTTCCTCCTAAGGTAATAACCATAACCATTTACAGTTGAAAGGTTATTAATGAGTCTAATTTCATTTTGCACGTCTCTCTCTCTCTCTCTCTCTTCTGAAACTTTTGGTGTTTATGAAAAAGAGAGCCTTTCTATTTGCGTTTCCCTATCAAAGCTATGGGTAGCCTTTTTGCATATAATGGGCAGTTAATGAGAAAAGCGTCCTTTCTTTTCTCCTCCTTTTTTTTTGTTGGTCGAATTTCTTTTCTCATTCTTTTATTTCTCCCTTTCTCTCCTTTATCTCATAGCTTTTGAGGAGAATTATACAGGTTTTAATTACTGATTTTCTGGGTCTGAAAAAAAAAATTAATTCTTTCAACCATCGGTTTGAAATAACTTTCAAAAAAGAAAATGGTTTTCTAGAAAGGGTTTCTCAGCTATGGCTCAAAACTTTAGATGCCAAGATCTAACCAATGAGAAAAGAAAGGAAGGTTCTTAAATATGCAATTCTAATTAATTAATTAAATGTTTGGACGTGTATGAATTGAAGTGCACAATTCTCTAATTTCATATGATTTGAACAACCATTGATCTCTAATTATTTATAATGTTCTTATAGGCTGACAAATCCACAATCGTAGATGAGGCAGTGAACTACATCAAAACCCTACAGCAGACTCTCCAGAAGCTACAAAAACAAAAGCTAGAGAGGCTCCAAGGTGCCACAACCATCAATTTCGATCCATCAATACTCACCAAGCAAAATGTTGCCTTTGGCTCTAGAGAGGAATTCTTAGCTAATCATGGCTCTGCTGCTACAATCAACCCTTCGAATTCACTCTTAACCTCGCATTGTGGTCCTGTGAACTTTCAAACATGGACTACACCCAATGTCGTTTTGAACATCTGCGGCGATGAAGCGCAAATTAGTGTCTGTTGTCCAAAGAAGGCTGGCCTCCTTTACGCCATATGCTTCATCTTGGAGAAGTATAAACTTGGTGTGATGTCGGCTCATGTTTCCTCGGACTGCAATCGCAGCATGTACATGATTCAAGCACATGTAAGTTTAAGTTTTTGTTCAATTCTATCTCTATGATTCAGCTTTTGTGTTACTCTAGAGTCAATATGCAGAACCTACATTTTTTAGAAATTTAATTAAAGTGCTAGCTGGAAAATGTTGCATGACTTTGTTCCAGCTAAGTGCTTTTAGTGACTGACTACATAATATCCCATGGTGTTGCATGTAGCAGTGATATATATACATCTGGCGGACTATGCCTCTCTCTTCACATGACTCTCTCATCACGTGACAAGTCATGAGATAGACTTAGTAAGTGTATATAGCACCGGGATATTCAAGTTTTCTTCTAAATTAGGAGAAACACAACGGCGTGCTCGTCGCACTTCTACATTACTAATTCATGAGCTACAATATGGATAGACAACATGATTGATATATATGTCATGGACCTAGGTATAGTATATAATATAGATATGATACGACTATCACACCGAAGAATTGCTCCTAAATTATAGGGTTGGAACCAATAAGTTGCTCCTGCTAACTATACACTTAGAAAACATAATGAAACCATAATTGCATTATGAGGGTTTCATAGGTCTATTGATGGAGCATTTACCTACACCCTCAAAGCGAGAGTTCAACTTTTACCCTCCTCCTAGGTTTTAAGCATTCTGAATTGTAACAAATAAAATGACTAAATTTCATTAATTAATCAGGGTTCTAGCTTTAGTAATGAAAGAAAGAATGTGAATCATGGGTTGAGGATTAGGATAAATCATGGGTTTAATCCAATCCAATGTATCAAATATATAGCAATTTTCATCACATGAATGCATAGACACGAATATCATTAATTATTAATTGAATTGAGAAAAAATTCTGGTGAAAAGAAGTTTCACAGTTATATATATGTTTTCAGTTATACCTAACAGTAGTGTTATATTAGCAGGCAAGAGGAGCTCCCGATCAGTTTCTGGAGACATTTCCTGCAGATGAAATATTCAAGCAAGCTGCAGCAGAGATAATATTGATGCTCTCTTAAGAGACCATCAAGAAAGCTTCTCGCAGATTCGTCGGATGCTTTAAGTTTTCTCTGATCGTATAGTACAACTGTTCGGATCTTGATAGCAATGTATGTATACATGTCAGTTGTATTTGCATTTGCCCTTTTCTCCTTGTATGACTATATATGCATGCTGAGGATCTTTTTTAACAAATTGGGAATGTATGAGTAGTGTATATTGAGCAAGTTACTATTAGTTGGTTTCCCCATCGGGAATCGAGTTCCCAATAATTCATAAAAATATTTATTAAAAGTTAGTGTAGATACTTCATTCAATAATTCATGTAACACTATACTGAATATACTATATAAATGTATTGCATAAATTATATTTCAAAGTAAAAGTAAGACAAAATCACTCAAAAATAATATTTTGGAAATGTATAATATATTATGAAACCCCCCACCCTTATATGTGAGAAACGAGAGGATGGGGAGGGGCACGGGGAATGGGGTGAGTACCTCAACCCCCACTGTAACATCCCAACTCAAATTTAAAGGATTCAATAATTTAATTAATTTAATAAATTATGAAATTACAATTTTGCTCTCGGGGTAGGGATAATTTGGTCACTTTTTAATCCGGAAGGATTTGGGGGGAAATTAATGGTACTATTACGTAGATCATATCGAGATGAGTCCGTAGACACGTAGTGGGCTCGAATCGGAGTTGTAACAAAAAAGTTACAATATACATAAGTGCAGTGGCACAACCGTAAATATTTCGAAGTCCAAATTTTAAAAACTCATATTTCTCTCTCTCTCTCTCTCTCTCTCTCTCTCTCTCTCTCTCCCTACCGTGCGACCCCCCTGGTGATGTACAGCAACGATGGTTTCACCGTCACCATCGCCGCCACATCCCGCCATCGGAGCTGGGACCGATCCCAAAACGACTGGCTAGTCTCCCCCGTCCTACCCCACCCCTTTGCCGACGCCAATTGCCAGCGACACCGAAATCCGGTCGAGTTTTACCTAATTTTTCCGGAGCTCGTTCGGACGATTCCAGGTACCAAATCCTTCGATCTAGGTATGCTTTTTCATCATCTCGATGTGTTCTAGCTGCTGGTTGGTTGTTTAGGATTAATTTCTGCGTTTTGAGTGTCAAATAAGCGATAGAAGTTTTGGCATGTTTCGGCCCTTGATTCCGGCCACCTCTGGCCACTTTTTGGGGTTGGCCCAAGAATAAAAGTTGATCCACTCAATGTGTTGATCATGTAGGTATAGGTCTTGGAGTTTTTCCAATCGTCGGAAATCGCTTTGGACACCCATGCGTTGCCCGCGCATGGCCACTTTTGGCCGGTCTTGGAGTCCTAAAATAATCCCCATGTTATCCCAAGCACGACGATATGCTCGGATATGAATTTGGTTATCGTTTGACAGTCGATCGGATATTGCATATTAGGCGTTATTCGGGTTCAATATGTTCGGACCGTTGGATCGACTTGATTTCAAAATATGTCGATCTAGGCATCTCTAGGATCGTGTAGGAATTCGCAGATCATGAATTGGAGCCCCGGATGTTCCGATTCAATAACTTAAAGTTTGCTTTAAACGATAAATGTCTGATCGTGCAATCGCGAGCAATCCGACCGTTCAATTCGAACCAAACTTGTAGGACATGTATAATAAACCTTGTTGAACCCGTAGGATCTCTCAAATCAGAAATCGGAGGTCGTGGGCATCGCGGGCCCGGTTGACCAAGTTTGGGCAATTTGACCCCTCAGTTGACCGCAAGTCTTTCGAGGTAGTTTCACCCTTCGAGGAGTACTAGAACAACCTTATTAGAGAGTCTTGGGTCTCGGCTAATTTTCATTGACACAGTGTCATAAGTTTTGTCCTTCAGGAACCTTAATTCATACAATTTCTTACGCATTAGGCTTGCATTACATTAACACTGTCATACCCTTGAGTCACTCTTCTAGGATTTTAATCTATGCAGTGTATTGTCAATGTATTCAACTTGAAATCTTCAAGATTTGCATTGTATTTAATAATTCATTTAAATGATACAAAATGAATACATATCAGGATGATTCAAGCCGTTCTTCTAAAACGGTCTTTTGTACATAATGCAAGCCGTTCTTCAGGAACAGTCTTATCTATTCATTTGGTCAACACCGAAGATGACGTACATAACCTTTTACCTATTAGAAGCAAAATACCGAAATACTAAAAGGAGTACAAGTATTGGTTACATCCTTCGGTATGAAAAACTTTACTCAAAGATTCTTCAAAATCAGGTTTGCTCAACAAATATAATCGAACGCTTGATGATCTAGTTATATCTTGCAAGAGTAAAAACCATAATTCAATTTCCTATGAAAAAAAAAAATCCAAAGTATTAGGTTCAAATTCATATGAAGGTTCTAAAGACACAAAATCCCCTGAGAACAGAGTGTTATAAAAAGAAAGAAATATACAAAAAATCTTGATTTTGATCACAATGTAGGAAAGCATCAGGGAAGGAAATTGGTGAGGTAACAAGACAACAAACTCTCATTTCAACTTCATATATTGCCTTTGTAAGGTCTAATTGGAGTAACTATGATTCAACTTCATTTCCTCCCACTTTCTAAAAGTTCAGCTTTTCAATGGCTTTACTTAAAACTCTTAAAATGATATGAACTTCTGGTTCATATTTTGAATGAACATGAGTAACCAAGAAACTTCAGCTTCCCTTTGTTCTTATAACCAAGAAACTTCAGCTTCCCTTTGAGCTTATAACCAAGAAACTTCTGGCTCACTTTTTCTCTCCTCTCTGTTTTCTCTCTCTCTCTCTCTCTTCTTTCTCTCTGTTTCTTTTCTTCTTTTCTCCGTTGGTGTATCTTCCCATTGTAAGTGACATGCCTATTTATAGGCTAAGGTTTTTGGCAAAGACAGGGAAGGGAAAGTTCCTGGAAGATGCAAGGAAACTTCCTCCATGCATGTGATACCAAAGTTGTGGACTCCACCTTCAAACTTATACAACAATCCTAAAATTATGAGGTGAAGAGATTTATACAAAACACTGAGAATTATATATGTGCTATGGTGAAAATATGCAAGACATTTTGGTAATCAAATTAATTTGGATTCTGATTCATGTAAATTAGTAAACAATAACAATGGGAATCAACCCCATTCCTAAGCTAATTCCATATGTTTAGTAAACAGCTTAATGGGAATGATTCTTCCCATACCGATTCAGTAGTTCCCCGATTCCTAAATTCTCTGATTCCTTACTTTTTCCATTACTGATATGTAAACATGCCCTTAGCATGCTATAGAAGCCAACAGAGAATTGGGTTAGAGGGTGAATCAAGTAAGAACAGAAAATAAATAACTATTAAGTTGTTATTTGTTCATTTCAAGGGAGAAAGTAGACTAAACTATCAAATCTTTTTGCAAGCAAAAGTTACTAGATCCAGATTGCCCAAACTAAGCGGAATTAGTGAATGGGCCGAAGTTAAAGATCATGGACCAAAATCTCTACTAGGTGACTGAAATTGCCTTGGACCAGTTCTTTTGGGCCTAGTATTTGAACTAGTTGAGTGAAATTAAGAGTCGGCCATAAACAAGTAGGTTGAAGTTGGAATGAAACCTAGCTATTTCATGCTTACTTTCCCCTCCATATTTTATTGGTCGAATCTTTCCAACAATGATGATTGTTCTACACAAGTTTCTCTAGGTGATAAAAGAAGAGAGCTGTAGACCAATGCATTATAAACTTATTGCAAGTTTTGTTCTCCATCACGCGTGAAAAGGAAGAGTTGTTGAAGTCCATGCATGTTTGCTTTAAGCAGTGTAGTCCAAATCCCACATCCAGCAAGATCAAATAAAGAAAGTAAGAAATGATTTGTGAAAATAATACCGTTTGACTAAGCATGTCATTATCTCATCGAGTCAAGTACCTTCAAATCACATTCATCTTATTATGTCCTCACTGGCGACCACCCAAGATATCGGGGATCAATATTCGTCAACAACTCCAAACTAAATTTACCCTTCGAAAAAAGAAAAAAAACCAAAGGTAGAGAGAGAGAGAGAGAGAGAGAGAGAATAAAGCAATGGGGTAAGAATGCCCCTATATATTGACAAAGTTAGAAGAGAGAGAGAGACATTATAGTTTGGGACCCAAATGCTGTAATATCATAGTGTTGGGTGGACAAATTGAATTCCCATCTGTTATTGTGACAAAAAGAGTAGCAAACAAAGTTGGGTTGGCATGTGAGCACTAGTAGCCATCACAAGCACAAAGAATAAGAACCAAGCCATGTGATTCCATGCTTTTATTCCCACAAACATGTGAACATCATCTTCTCTACTTTTAAGCCACATATATCATAAATCAAGAATGTTCTCCCACCAAACTTATCTTATCAGATAAATACTTGTATCATTGGTTAGACTGTTAATTTAAATTACGCGTCTATAATCGACTTTCACAGTCTAACACGAACAAATTTCTTATGTTGTCACACAGTCTGACTTTAGGAAAGAGTTATTAGGATCCGACATTGTTAACTTGCCAAAATTTTGATGTACACATTTAGCATGCACGCGTGGGGCGGTAGCCATCTTTGGAAATCTAGAGTCAAACCAAACAGAAACCTAACCTAACATCCATTTCATTTGTTAATTGGGCTTTTATGGGCTTAAATGCATGTGTTATTTGATTTCCAATAATTTGAAACCCCAAAGGGTAAGCCTAGCCAATTAAAATTCCACAAACAAAGAAGCCCAGTCAAAGCTTGTCAAAACAAACCACCATTATGCATGATTAGATGTGTCACCAAATTATTCAAATCAGTCAATTGAGAAATAGGGTGACGAATGGCAGTCACCAAATTCATATTATTCATACATGGATTCTCTGCCTCTCTTGTTCTTATTTGATTTTTAATCCCGACATTTGTTTACAAATTCAATTCTTATATTATATTAAGAGTCTCCGTCACGCAGTCCCATTAGAGTCTTGACGTGCCATTCACAACCATCTCAGTCACCCAATCCCTTGCATTCGAGTTTAATCTCCCTTTCCGTATGCTAGTACATTCGTTTTTCTTTTCTGATGAAAAAATTAAATAAATTAAAAGATTCACATATAAGAACATATCTAAACTTTTCTCTATGCTTTTGCAACTTCTTTAATCATCTAAGCAAAATTACTTACATACAAAAAGACACAAAAATTACAATTTCTTAATATACCAATAATCTACAACCCCAATTTTCATCTCTCTCTTTTTTTTCACTTCCCTTTTTCTTTTTTTTTTCTCTAATGACAATCTGAAAAATTGAGATTAAGAAAATTAATGAAGAAGAAAACAAAAAGTGGAAATTCAAAATGGTACTACGAGCTCGCTGCAAACAAAATCATCAGAATTCCCAACTGAATCCTCGGGCCACGAATCCCGAAGAAGCTTCAGCAGCAGCTGGGCCTTCCGCTTGGCCCGGTCCGTACAATCACTCTGCACCAGCAGCAACAGTTGCGTCAATACGCCTGCCGCCACGGCGTCGTTTATTGGGTTAGAGGGTGAATCAAGTAAGAACAGAAAATAAATAACTATTAAGTTGTTATTTGTTCATTTCAAGGGAGAAAGTAGACTAAACTATCAAATCTTTTTGCAAGCAAAAGTTACTAGATCCAGATTGCCCAAACTAAGCGGAATTAGTGAATGGGCCGAAGTTAAAGATCATGGACCAAAATCTCTACTAGGTGACTGAAATTGCCTTGGACCAGTTAGCCAGCGCTCGCTCCGAGTCGCATTTCTCGAAGTCGGCCAAGGTATTGATGAGCGTTTCGGGCGCGCCGGCCGATACGGCCTTGTTTCGGGTCTGCTTCACCAGGCACAAGGCGAAGAGCGCCTTGATTCCGATTTTGAGCGCGCGGGGATACGCGATTGGGTTGCGGAGAATCGAAACGACGCCTTGGTGGATTTCGTCGACATTGCTAATCTCAGCTCGTAGCTCCGCCGTCCGCGACCCGGCCAGGACGTTCTCGATCAACGCGGCCGAGTTGACACGGACCTCCATCGACGAGTGCTGAACAAGCCGGGCCAGGTACGCGACCCGGTCGGGGTCCGACGCCACCGCTGCGCAGTCGGACTCTGGGAGCGGGAACAGAACGAGAAGCGCGAGCGCCTCGTGAGTCAACTCGGAAGATTCCGAGCTGGTATCAGCGAACACAAGCTGAACGAGGATTTCGCGGGAGTTCTGGGAGGAGATGGTAGAGCGGTTCTTGTCGAGGTCGCGGGCGAGGCCACGTAGGCGGCGAAGGGCGGAGAGCCTGGTCGGGTACGGGTTGGAATTGGACGCCGATTGGGCGAGGAGGTGGCGGATGTGGGTCGGGTCAGCGGGCTGTTTGGGGGTGGGAATGCGCTCGACGCCGAAAGAGCGGTTGGCAACGCACCAATCCTGGATAAGGCGGCGTAGGGTGTGGTTGGGGATGAGAGTGAAGTCGGAGAGCGGGGCCCGCGTGACGGGGCAGGTGGTGTTGCCCGTGGCGACCCACGACTCGATGCTGGGGCGGTCGTAGGTCTGCCCGGTGCTGACCGTAACGGGGTCGCGCATGAGCTCTAGCGATATGGGGCACCTGAAGTGGTATGGTATGTGCACCCCCAAATCCAACGGCTCTAAACTCCCAGGCATTTGTTCCTCTCTCTCTCTATCTCTATATTTGTCTCTCTCTCTCTCTTACTCTGTGTGTGTTTGTTACTAAATCTGAGGGCTCTGCAAATTCTGATTTTTGGGTTTGGCTTAGTTACGCTTTGCTTGCTGGGGGCTTTTATATTGGACCAAGTGGAACAGAGAAACGTACCCAGCAGGGCTAGAAGGGGCTCTCTCTCTCTTTCTTTCTCTCTCTGTGCCTACATCTGACTCCAAATTGGCCACACGTGTGGTGTATTTGGGAAAAGCTGACCCACCCAGCGTGACCCTGGTTAGGTTAAGGTTGGGTCAACATTGAGATGGTGCGATTGGACTGGACTGGACTGGGGTGGGACCCATTCCTCTTTCTCTTATTGCCCTCCAACCCCATTCTAAAATCTTACTCCTGTTTACATCATGGATTTGTTTAACGTGCGGCTGTCATTGTTTTAGGAGATTGATTGGGTAATGAGCATCATTCACTCATTATGGGTGGGTAGTGGTCTTTGCATTCATGCCCTTCTCCTTACACAAAACTTCACCATCCATCCAATCCAATATAAATATTAGATTATATAAAGTTTAGGGTTGCATTGCATGTATATAAAGTAATTTAAGTTGATTTTTCATGTGTGAAGTAATTTAATAGTAATTTTACGTCTAACATGTTTCGACTGCAAGACGTTCATGTTTAGAGATTGAACTATATTTACATTTTCTAATAAGAATTGTTGAATCGAACTAAAATCAATTGACCTTTGATTGTACCATGAATTTCCAAATTACAAGAGGACTTTTACTTGTACAATATTTACCATTTATTATTGAACCACTTTTATAAGTTGTTATTTCCTTTTTGGCTTTCTATGTTCTTTGTGTGCTTTTGGTCAACTTCTAGCTAACTTTTTTAAAGGGGTTCAAATGACCTCAAAAGTGAAGATAAATAATGTGAATATAGTTTCATCATTGAATACTTGTGTCAACCATAAAATTGAAAGACTTTGTTGGAAAAATCCAACATAATAAAAACCCATTTAACAATGAATTGAGTGGCAAGTTAAAAGCTTTTGAATATTTTAGTTGGATATAAAATTCATGGTAAAGAAGTGAAACAACCCATCTATAGGCTCTTAAATACAAGCCGCTTTAGGTATAAGTGAAGTGAAACTTACATAGTTTTACCTAGGGGTGGCATTTTATACCGAAAAATCGCAAAAACCAACCGATAATTTACCGTAATGAAACCGCAATCGCAGTAAACCGAACCGCATTTGCGGTATTTAGAAC